ACACACACACACACACACACACATATATATATATATACTATATATATATATATATATATATATACATATATATATATATATATATATATATATATATATTTGTGTGTGTGTGTTTGTGTTTGTGTGTGTATGCGAACATGTATGTACAAAAAACAGAGGGTGTTTATGTATGCGTAGGTGTGCGTAAAAGTGTCCAACTTTTAAATTCTTGAGTGTGTCAATATAAAATACTTCGAATTTGGCGAGGTGCTCATAAATAGATAATCCTGGTGAAGCACTATATACGCCATGTGAAACTATGAGCATATTCCATATATATCGCTCAACTGATCGATCGGAGTTTGCGCACGTACTTAAATTTCCATTTGCCGCTCCATACACAACCGCAAAACATTTGTTTTACATTAGCACATCTTTATAGAGAACCGAGTTACTTTCATTGTCCCAACAACACAGGTGCAGTCCCCGACTGTACATCCATAGCCCCCGCAGATGTCGCATATGTTGATTGTGAACTGTGGCATTGATTGTTGCTCGTATACATCTCTTATACCATCTAGGCTACGATTTCCCGGTCGTGCATCATCTAACCCCACACTACCATCGCTCACAACAACTACATCATGCGGGGCGAAGAATCTTTTAACAGACTGCGAAAACGCAGGGGTAGCAGTGGGCTGTGTTCAGAGACATAGTTATATGGAGTTCAATCCGAAGTGGAAGGGAAATCTGTGTCAATAAATGGTTGTTTGCAGTGTTCAAGGACATAATGTTTGGCAGCAGCTATGTAGAGTGTAATCCGAGAGGAAAAGAAGTCTGTTCGTTGCCGGCGGCAGCATAGCTTCCACTTTGTGTTCAGTCAACGTACTCGAATGGATGCTTAGGCATGGGCAGAGCTTGCACGTGTGTGGGCATTTGTGTCTCGACTCCTTCGATTTCGTAGTTAGTCTACTAGGTTCTTGAACAGTACATGATTTAGGATTTTAGGGGCATAGTTGCTAAAAATAGAGCGCTATTTCGAATGGATCAAGTATGTTTAAAATGTGATGTGCTAATGCATGGTTTCGTTGCGATTGCTATCACTATGGCCGTCGACCAATACCGCATCACTGTATGACCGGTAGCATACCACACAAGCTGCTGACCAAACACAAAAAATAAAATATATATTCAACTATATAAACATACCGAAATGAAAGTATGTAAACCTATAAACACATCGACGCATATGTACAGATGTGTATGTGCTAAGCCTTTTAATCAATTTATACGGTGTCCGTAGGCTGTGCGGCGGCTTTTTTTCTCTTCCGGTTGATTTTCCTCTTCAGGTTCTTCTTCGCGTTCTTCGTTATACTGACCGCTGTTGCGCCATTATCTGTTTGTGCCTCCACAGTCTCCTCTTGCTTCACGAAACCATGTTCGTTTGTGTACGCACTCTCACTTCCACCACTAGATCTCCCTACACCTATATTTGTCCCTTGCCCTTTTGTACTACCTGTTTCGTATCCGTCTTCTATCCTTCCCGCAGGCTTCCGCTCAAACACCGCGACAAAGAATCCGTTGGTGAAATCCATTTCTTGTAACACACGAACCACACACTCGGCACCTGAATATATCGATTTAAGGACCAGATTAAGTTACAGCACTTGCGCACACGATATTCATGGATATGTTTTGTTATTGACAAGAAAAAATACCTACACAATCAGCAGTACTAATCAGTGAGTATGAAGTATTTATATGCACATCCATCGTGTAAGCTGATATGCGTGCATATATATACGTATATATATATATATAGATATATATATATACTTATACATCTACATATATATACATATACATACATACACATACATACACACACACACACACACACATATATATTATGGACAATAATATAAATACCTCGTTCACGACCAGTGATCAAACCAGGACATCCACGGCGGGGCCATTGCGGAAGTGCTGTGTTCAATCGGAAGTTCTCGTTTGCGGCTAGAACGTTGGCTACAACCACTTCGTTTTCTTGTTCGTGTATGGAGCACGTAGAGTAGCTCACCCGCTTCACCCGAGGGACTGTATGGTGCGTAATATGGTAAAATCAGTATGTAGATAGAAATATATGTATATGTATATTTAGAAGATAAATAGAAATTTATGTATATTTATATCCAAACATGCACGGGGTAAGCTGGCGATAGGCGAAAAGCACATCTATGCAATAGTATAAAGTCATTCATATATATACAGAAAGCTATCATGTTTCGCATATGTTCAGGTTGGTAGTCGTAGTGACCGCTTTCAGCCACAGCGATGGTGATCGCAAACCGAAACCTGAGAAAAGATCTGGTGGCTTTCGGTATATGATTTGGGTGAGGCCCGGGTACTTACAAGGCAGCGAATTTAAAGTGACATGTGAGCGTATGCTGTCTCTAAATAATTTTACAGTAAGAGCATGGCCTTAATTGATAACAGGTGATTGTATGATTATAGTCAAATCTAAGATTTTGTTTACTAGCGAGTACTGGAGGGGCAAAGCTAAACAGTATCACAATGCGACAGAAATGATCAAATATAAGTTACAGTTCAAGATAGCTGCACCACGTACATTATATAGGAATGTAGATCGACCTGCACATTCGCATATAATACTACCTGCATACTTGTTTATCAAAATCATGCATCTCGATAGTATATGCAAGTCTGACTTTGAAAGCGTGTCGCTGTTATAGATGCCTCATCATAGCCAGGATGTACATATATGAAAAATGTAGGTATCAATGCACACGCAGAAAGTTTTGCGTTCGCACGTGTGCAAACTTTACATACATGTAAAGGCGTGCAGCAACACAGTCTCCTGAAATTGCCTCAGGTTGTCCAATCGTTCCTGGTAGTCTTGGCTCATTGTATCGTCATCGTTATCGATCAATTGGTCCAATCGGCTGACTATGCCCGAACCCGAGCACGAGGGGTCCAGGAGGATGTATTCTACCTGCCATGCACATATGGGTATGGATGTTAGTACTCAAACTGACGATCTCGCAGCAGGCGCGAGATGTGTGAGAAATGTGTCACAACATAGTCTGGTCCTGTGGTACTATACATCAGCTAGTATCAAGTGACTGATTCGACACATGGCCTTGTTTTCAACGATACAACTTTGTGAGGATGATGATTTGTAAGGGCGATGACCAACAGCACAGATAGTCCACTCGGACACCAAAACAGCCGTAGAGAATATTGCCTTCAGTGGCAATTACGTACGAGCAGATGTACATAACAAGTTTGTGCATGTATTGAATGTGTGACTAGATGATATCCAAGTATAGAACACACTCTTCCCTCATGGATATGTACATAATCCAGAGTGTGCCTAGAGCTTCCCAAAGTGCCTGCTATGTTCGGGGCGACGTGCTCATTTTAGAATCAATTCACTCTCAGTGTGGTTAATTGACACTTGATACATTTACCACAGTATATTTCGATGTATATACTCAAGTGTTCCCTGCATAATCAATCCTCGATTAATGTACGCCGGTCAATTGAAAAATATATATAGATGTGTATTGTAAACACCTTCTGATGCCCACACATGACTCTACGCCACTGTTTCATGTAATTTTAAGTTCGTTTGCCTGAGACCCAGGTGGACTATTTCGTAAAAGTGTAGTATTCTCTAAACCGGAGCCTAGGTAAATACAAAGCCAAGTGATAATTAACATCCAAGAGTCGATTTATCAGTGCAACATTACCAGCTATATAACTGGGTATAGCGTACCCACAGCACAGTATAGTACACTCTAAACGCCACATACCAGTCAGATATCAATGTGTATATACAAACTACGTGCGCCATCCCACTGCGAAATACACATGCCACAGTCTCATGATACATCATACAAATTAACATACTTTATATATATATATACATACATATATATATATATATATATATACATACATACATATATATATATACATATACATACATATATATATATATATATACATACATATATATATATATATAAAACATAAAAACACATATTTGTATAGATATGATAGCATTAACTCCCAACCGCATAGCAAGGTACTTACGTCCGCATACGTAGGATCCAACGGGTCGACATCCAGAAAACTCTGATGTCTAGCTTTGATACATGATGCACCCGCTAATCCTGTCAATTTGACCAGTGTTTTCAACCGCCGTGCGTCTTTGTCGAATGCGAATATGGTGCCTTTGTTGCCCATGATGCTTGCCAGATGGCTTGTTTTATTGCCTGAGCGAATGTGATATAATATTCTATGAGAAGCTATGCCTGAGAATATACGAACGAAAATCAATGCTACGCAACAATGTGATATAGATTGTGTAAGGCACTTGCCTGTCACCAGTGTAATATACAGAGATGTTCTACCCTTGATCGTTCGCTACTCGACCGAGGCTCCAGATAGAGATATAGCGTGAATGGCACATGAATATTTATACTTTTATAAAAACAAAAGAATAGAACGGACTATCACTGCCCAGTAGAACCTCGTGTGGCACACCCGTCGGTAGCATGTGCCCTCGGGATCTGCTTAAGAGGGTTTGGCGAGCATGCAACTCGTCACCACTTGTCTTGTAAAGCATTCATCCAAAGCGGACTGGGTATCCCTCGACATCCACTTCCCTTTGCCCAGTTATATAGCACCAAGCACCAAAATTTGCACACGATACCATACAAATTAATGCATGATCAATGTAAATGGCACGGTTGATAACCCATTTATTAACCTTCCGGTGGCACGCAAAAGCACTGCACAATATTTTTCCGTGCAGTACACACGGTGATAGCCGTAGTCACCAAATGTGAACTTGTTGTTCTGGCAGGTATACAAGTAATCGACTTGGTTTACTGTACCACATACCCATACACACTTAGTATAGTACATACACACCTGGCACAGTACGTACCCACCTAGTATAGTACATACACACCTAGTATAGTACATACACACCTAGTATAGTACATACGCACCTAGCATAGTATATACACACCTAGCATTGTACATAAACCTCCAGTATAGTACATACGCACGTAGTATAGTACATACACACCTAGTATAGTACATACACACCTAGTATAGTACATACACACCTAGCATAGTACATACACACCCAGTAATGTATATACACCTCCAGTATATTACATACACACCTAGTGTAGTACATACGCACCTAGCATAGTACATATGCACCTAGCATTGTGCATACACCTCCATTATAGTACATACGCACCCACGTTTGCTCACACACCTCCGTACAATGTAGAACACCCACAGTATGCACCTGAAACAGCACATGCAACAATAGCAATAGACGCCGGAAGAGAAACGGGACTTAAGTAGGTAATATATGTTCGCAGATAACCTGTAGCGATACGCGCACAACAGCTCTTCACACAGAGAGTCGTTGGCTCAATGATATACACATAACTATAGAACAGTAGGTATAACCCATCAGTACCATCCCAGCGGATACGTTGTGACTGTGCGTGAGGATGCGAACTACTTTCACGGTTGCATGCAGACCCTCTATTCTGTAACATTTGCCTGGGATCTAAAATCAGAATATCACTGTATGACAAACATCAACAACAATGAGTCACTATACCACAAATATAATCAACAACAGACAGCCCTGCAGACGCCCCTGCATTACCTGGTGCAGCACAACCGTCAATGACGGTAGAGCCCGGAGGTGGATTGAGAGCTTTGGCGGGCATACAACTCGCCTTGTCTTGCTGAATGATGGTTCCGTTAAGGTACAGTGTATGTGCGTGGAAGTCTGTTTTCGGAGCGAACGCCAACACATCGTCTATGTGCGGGTCTCGGTAGAATTGTCTCGACCTATATAAAGGGTAGGGGGAATAAAGTAATTAAGTTGGGTAATATCCGTATGCTCGTATGAGTAGACTATGAAGATTTCAACGTAAAATGTGCATTTCAGTCGATGCAGTACGCAGATACAAGGAAACTAATGTGAAAGTGAAACCCACACATGCGCACACATCTGTACGCATATTAAACGTGGGTCTAAACACGTACGTGTCAGCATCACATCGGCGTCGTGATATGACGTCTGGGTCCCCACACGCATGTTTAAGATACATCCTATGAAAATAACTTCAGTACATACGATATCTCTCCCAGCATGAGGGTGAAATTTTCCCAGTGCTTACGGAAATTTATCAAGTGATTATTGCTACATGCTATTGTAACGACTTTCTCGCATCTACCACGATGAATCGACGAAAACTTTGATTTGTATAGTTGAGCACATATGAAAACGGTTTACTGCCGGCAGCAACGTACTTCATATTGGCGAACAAAGTGAACGCACGCAACGCCGATAGCAAGACGGTACCGGGTCCTACTTAGTACTTCCAATTCAGTTCAAACAGAAAAAATAATTAACTTGCACATCTAGAAAGTCGCATAAACAAGTACACCTATACCTGCCCAAGCGATCACGTACCTAGGAGCGCACGGGTTCGTGTTCATAAGACCATAAGGCGACAGTACAAACAGCTGCATAGTATGGCGATGCAATGCAAGAACATGTCGACAGTTCCTTCCTTACCTAAGCTCAGCTGGATTTGTTTCTGAAGAAACAAGCATAAAACCCTCTGTTTGGAACGTCTGCATCGCTTCCTCGACGGACATCCTAATCAGGTTTACGCGCACATATCTCGGCATCAAATCTGCTATTCGCACACTCTCAGGTATGAGTTCTACATTATCTTTTATCCGCCTTTTCACCTTTAACTTGGTCAAGCTAGTATTCAACGCACTTTTTTGCCTGACTATTGCCTGCTTGTAAACTCCCCCACATCTCAGGCCTTTCTTGCCGAATAAGTGGTCGTATATGATCACTATACCTTGCCACTCGCCTATTTGTGGTTCTTTCTTAGGAAACCCAGACATGTGCGCAATCTCTCTGATTGCGTCGCTGTACTTGAGTGACTCGCATACGAGTGCGTAGAGATTCTTCTTCATTTTTGAATCGCTGCCGTTTTGCAAGCAGAGTGATTTGACGGTACCTTCCTTTTTGCTCGCTTGCTTCAACACTTTCGCTGCGAGCGTATATAGCATGCTATTTGCGTCATTATTTTTAAAATTCATTATGTGTATCTGTATATGTATGTCAACTGTATATTCGTCTTGTACGTAAGCGTGTATATATACTGGATGGAGTATGTGCGCTGCAAATCTCCATTCGCCTAAATTTACGTTATTACTATTTTATATTACTATACTCGTTACAGCTATTGGGCTTTCAACCAAATCATAGACCTAAATTAATAGCTACTATTCCAAAATTTCGAAGAGCAGATCGTCTATAATGTGTTCCCAAGCGCTTTCCTATATGTATATCACAATATAAATAAGCTTAGAGAGAAAATCATATATATATATATATATATATATATATATATATATATATATATATATATATATATATATATATATATATATATATATATATATATATATATATATATATATATATATATATATATATATATATATATATATATATATA